AATGTTAGCTGGTAACAATCGGAATGCATTGTGCTAGATGTAGTTTGTAGTCAATTCGTGCTCAAAACCTATTGTAAGTCAATGTCGGCCTGTAAAATGCTGCGGGGGGCCACATAAAATGACATGGCGGGCCACATGTGGCCCGCGGGCCTTGAGTTTGACACATGTGATGTAGAAGCTGTTTCAATTTTATTTCAGTTTCATTATGGAAATACACAGTCTGATGGAGGGGAGAATCCAAACTGAAGAGCACCATCTGTCAACTCTGGGAGAGGAGAAATATGAAAAAAAAGAAAAAAAAACAAAAAAGAAAAAATGTCAATATTACCAAACCCTTAATGTGAATAAACTCAAAGACGCACATTCATGGAAAGCATGCAGGCTCTCAAGCATTGCATTACCAGAAAGATAAATGTGAAACAAGTTGTATTGACTTTTCTGTCTCAAAAAGAATTTCATAGCAAGTATAAATGCTGTTGCAGTAAAAAGCAAGATCAGAGTGCTTCTGATGTCATCCAACCTATTTTAGTGTGTTTCACTATTTTAGCAACAGTGCCTTTGGGGGTTGGGGAGGGATGTATGTGATGAACCAACACAAAGTGGCAAGAAGAACACTGCAGATTGCAGATCACCTTGAACACAAACTTTCCATTAAACATAGTGGGGGCAGTAGGAATTCGTTTTATCAGCAGAGACCAGAAAGTTAAAATTCTAAGAGTTGTTTAAAAAAATAGATGCAGCTAACTACAGGCAGACATGTAGAACTGCCCAGTTAAAGTCCAACTATTTCATAGTTTGTAGCAAGACTTGAGATGTAATCTTTACAGCTAATTTCTTCCCAATCTGAATGACTTAAGGATATTTAAAAAAGATTAGGCAAAGGATTGACTACAATTCATCACTTAGTGGTTTTTCTTTTGGTTTTGTTTTAGGACAGAAAAATCAGAAAACCAATTTGATCAGAAGCATCGAATTCATCAATTAAAGAGAGAGACGAGAGAGTGACAGAGGTTCTACTGAAAGTATTTTACTTTTCAAAATAATGTGACCATTTTGTTCCAGATATGTCTGTAATGTACAGGTCAGGATTCACAATTGAGCTTTGAAGAGCATTCTGGTGTCAGCATTTCATTCTGCACTCACGTTAAGAATGTTCAGCCTTCGAGGAGCTTACAATTTTTGAAGCAAAATGATTTTAATGTAAGCTACTTTATACCAGACTCAGAACCCTCTAACTGGTCTCAAAGTTATATGAATGAAATGTTTTCCAGGCACAAATGTGTCTACCGTTTGAGAAAGGTGATTATGTGCTGATGCAGAAATAGAGAAGCGATGGCATGAATTTATACTATTATAAATTAGTGCTTAATAAGGTGCTGTCGTTATGTATGGTGCCCATTCAGCCTTTCCCTAAATGTTCAGCTCATGTACATTGCATGTGCAACAAAATAGAAGAAAATGGTGGAAAAACACTGTCGTGATCCACCAGATTAGTACCCCACGATGCACAGGGAGTCAAAAGACAGGCATTTGCATAATGGTTCCACTTTGTCTGCTGCAAATACATCTTCTGGGAATAACCACCAAGGATAAATTAAGGTTCTTAAATGATACGTTAATGGCATCTGAAACTGGGATTCAATTCAACCCCCTCACTCCCACCCCACCAAAAAAAAAAAAGAAACACCAAACATTTAAAAGCTTTTGTGTTGTTTTAAGATATGCATGCTGTTTCTTAGATACTGAAAAGTGACGCATTGATCAAAATTTTGTGATCAATTTACAATTTCTACGTTTGAAGTGGCAACCCACTAATACTGAAATGATCCAATGCTCATTTCTTTTTAAATAACACAATATAGCACAGGGGTCTGAAGGTCCTGTAGAGGGCCAGTCTCCTGCACGTTTTAGATGTCCCAGCTACAACACAACATATTTAAATATATTTTAGCAGTGCTCTGTTGGCCTTCGTTGTATTCTAGTAGGTAATCCGGCTGTTCTACTCAGGTGTGTAAGACCTTGGACATTTCTAAAATGTGACAGCCCTCTCATTCTGGAGTCAGAGAACTATAAAATAGGGACAGAGGTGATTATGCACATGTAAGAGTGCAGGCCCTATCAAACAGTGCTTTACTATTATTTTTTTCAAACTGAGTTTGCTTATTAAACTGTTAGCTAATTCTATTAAAAGTTAGCACAGATAGGACAGCTAGTGTTATTAAAACAGCAGGCTCACCATGTGCATTCTTCTTAAAATCCTTACCTAACTCTGACATTTCTTAAAGAATGCCAATTTTCCAAATCCAATATGTTCTGCCTTCCTGGTATCTGCTAAAGATCTTGCTCTCCTCGGCTCTCTCAAAGCCAGAATGAATAGCAGACATATCTTGACATGTCATACAAAATATATTGTGGTTTTAAACATTTTTCTTTTTTTTCTTTTTTTTTTTTTGCTTTCTTACTTCATAATAATCTCGGTAAACCTGAAAACGTCTTCACACCAGAGTGGTGTTTTTAGCTGGAGGCTTAGTGTAGATCAGAAAACATGTTGTTGTGTTTTTAACCAGTCACTTACCAGCTGTTTCTAGTCACCAATCAGTATGCAAACTGTATTTACAGATGAAAAATCACATGTACTTTCAAAGGTTTTGGAGAAGATAGGTAGACAAGCAAACAGGGTTTAATAGTGAATTACACATTGAGACTCCAGCCATAAATTCTCCTTCCTGTTAAATCAACTGTAGTGTTAGATACCCTGAAGATACAAGCACCACTACCGTGGCCATTATTTCATAGAAATAAGTAAAAGGAAGACGGAACTTATTTTCTTCCTTGATAAATGACCCGACCAGCAAAAACATTTAATGGTTAGGCATGATTCCTTGCCTTAGCTACGTGCTAGTTTTGCCGTCAGTGAAACTCTTGACAAGCCACATCTGTTTGAGGGGGAAATGTTGGAGGGCTACATTTGTCACAGAAACAAATTAATAGTGTGTGTATGTGTGTGGTTTATAGTGTGACATGAATGTCTGTTGATGTGAAGCAAACTGGCTGAGAGGATGAGTTGTCACTTCTGGTTTCTCTTGAGTAAAAGCTTGTGATATCATAGAGCTGTGCAATATGGACAAAAAAAAAATCATGTTTCATTAATCAACTCAAGTTAAAAGCCTAGTGCCTACAATAATGTTAGTTTCAAAACAAAGTTTGAAACAAATTGAATGATGTTATGGATTAATAACAATGTTCAACTTGAGATAATATTGATGTAGAAATTTCATTTGCAGCTCTGTTTAAAAGTGTAAATAATGTTTATGTTTATGCAAATCAAGTTCACACTGCTCTTTGTGATTTCTTCTGTCTTCTGAAAATATAAAAGGTGTTCCAGCATTGATTATTGTCTGCCTTAATGTAGACATTAAGGTGCTGTCTACTTTATTGAATTTTGAAGCCTACATAATCATTCTTTTTGACATTTTCTGTTTGTAAATAAATTATTGAAAGTGTTCATTGTCCAGCACTATGATACAGTATTTAGTAAAACATGTTAGCCATAAATAACTATTTTAGCTTTTATAAAAGTTAAATAAAAGCAACACTTGCACACTTAACTCATACTGCTCCCCAAATATTTTTTTTGTATATCATGTAGTAGAATTGCAAAGTACTTTGTCATTCTTTAATTGATGCTATGCTCTAAATAGAGTTGACTTGCTTAATTGTATATTGATTCTTACTGTAGTAAAAATCGTTTCTGTAACATTTATTTGTTGCGGTTTTCTCTTTCTGCACAGACATTTTATATTTGACCTTGTAAGTTGCTAAAACTAACAGTAGTTTTGAGATATTCGTTTAGCAGAATATAACATAACTTTGCCTTTACCTTCCAGTTATGTCTGTTTTTTATAGAATAAACAGAATCCCAACAAATTGATTTTATTTGATTAATTAGTCTGATTATCTCATCAAGAAGCCAATCGCATATAGCTTAAGTGTAATTTAAAAACACTTTTGCTTTATCAAGTGTGATGAGTTGGTGCTTCCATAGTTGTTTACCTAGCCTGTTATAAAAGTACACATTTAAAAAACAACCACTTTTTATTTTATTTTATTTTTACTTTTAAGCACGGAAGAAATGTAAGAGCAGCAGATGGAAGAAATCAGGGCTGATTTTCTTCATTAAATTTTGTCACATACTTCGCCATCTCACTAAATCCACAAACTGTACACTAAATTTTAACACTTTTGAGACCATAACTTATTAAAACCATGGTAAACATTGACATCAGTTGCCCAAGCCTATCTTGATGTTTTATGCCCGTTTTAGCACTTCTTGGCACCTTACGGGTGATATTGTTTCCTCTGTTCCATGATATCTATACAGGGATAAAGTTTTGTCCTCATTGACAATCAATCTGTGAAATAGTCTTAATAAATATTTCACTTTGGACCTAAAAAGAATATATATTGCTAAATATAATACATTGGATATGTCTAAAGAAACAAAAAACAAATATTTATGGTTCCGAATAGTTGACATACACATAACCATAACCTATCGATCCAATTTTAATGAAGCATTTGAAAGAACCCACATTTGAACTGTTCAATCAGATTGCTTCTTTTCAGCTAGGTTTGTGCATTAAGATGTTGTCTTAGTTAATATGATTTGTCGGGCAGATGGTCCATCAGATTTCTATAGACCCGGTCACTATCAAGAATTAGGATCGGTTGTGTAACGATTAAGATATATCAAATGCTCCTTTAGCATGAATTTGAATGGTTGACAATATTGTTCTTTTGCTAAAACAACACAGTGATCTTACCAGGACTTCTTCTTTAGCTAATCTGAAGGAGCTCATCTCTCAGACGATGGTCAGCTGGGCCCAGGAGTGTCACATCCAAGACCCCAAACTCGTTCGCAAGATGTTTAGCCTTCTAAGGAGGCAGTATGACAGCATTGGGGAGCTTCTCCGGGCAATGAGGAAGACCTACACCATCAGTGCTGCCTCGGTTCAGGACACCATCCACCTCCTTGCCTCCCTCGGTCAAATCAGGTCTCTGCTGTCTGTCCGCATGGGGAAAGAGGAGGAGAAGCTCATGATTGATGGACTCAGGTAGGTTGCTGGATCATTTTTCATCATCGTATTTCAGTGTAACTTGTTGATAGACCAACACCAACTGGCTGTTTGATTATGATTACTTGTGTCACTACTATTTGGTCTGATTTGTTACCCACGTCTAGTAACAAGTCTTTTATTTTACTTTGCAGTGACATCATGAACAACAAGGTGTTTTACCAGCACCCAAACCTGATGAGAATACTGGGCATGCACGAGACCGTAATGGAGGTCATGGTGAATGTGCTGGGAGGAGACAAGTCTCAGGTTCGAAAACATCTGTATCTGCACTGATTATTATTTATCATTAGGTATCAGTCAATCAGAGAGGCACCCACTGATGTCAAAACTACTAACAATGTTACTCTTATCCTCATGAAGTTTGTGCATTTTCCAGCTTTGTGTGAAGCACTGTGTGTGTGAATTGTGGTTGTGTTTGAGTTATGCCTACTGGCGTCGTTCTGACAGCATCTTAGCAGAAAGACAGGAACAACAGAAAGTGACTGAGTGACTGGCAATGTGTGAATGTGTTACACCTTTTACATATCAACAAGGAATGAAAACATGCGGGAGTATATAAAGTTAGAAACCAGTTGTACCCAGATTAATGCAGAGCCTTTAAATCAACCTTATCTGAAATTACACCAATCCACTTCAATTTATGGTTAATGATGTTGTGAAAAAATATTAGATGAAAAGATGAAAGGACATAATCATGTTGTTTGTTTAATGCCACCTTACAGGAAATTGCTTTTCCTAAAATGGTAGCCAGTTGCTGTCGCTTCCTGTGCTATTTTTGTCGGATCAGCCGACAGAACCAGAAGGCCATGTTTGACCACCTCAGCTACCTGCTAGAGAACAGTAGTGTGGGTCTTGGTAAGTGCATCTTTGTTTTGTAGCCCCACTCTGCGATGGATAAGCTCAATTACCATGTGGTTTTACAGCATGGAGGCGGCATGGACTGGTTGGAAGTAAATCTAAAGTTTCTCTAAAAAATAACTTTCTAGATCTTTAGTTCTCATACTTTTTAGATCAAGAACAATTGCATTTTGATAGTTTCACAGTTTGAAATGTTTGCAAAGCATTACGACAATACTGTTTAGGATTTCCTTTTTTACATTGAAAATTTAAATTCAGCAAGGTTAATAAATTTGTCACTGTACTTACTCCCTTTGGGTTCTGCAGTATTCTGAAAACATCAGATCAGTCAACTTCTATGCAGATAACTACCATATTTGCTTGCATCTAAAGCCAAATAATCAGTTTACCTTAAAGCTTTTTGATGTCATCAAGGCACAGATGGTTCTTATTTCCTGAGCTTCACTGAAAACAAAAGATATGATTTTATTAAACTTGTACTATGTCATATACCCCTCTTCGCCATTTTGGTTCTCTCAAGCCATATGTCGGGTCTGTGTTAGGAATCTTATTAAGGATTTGAATGTCATATTTAATATTCAGATCAGCTTTGTTTTGCGGAGCAGCTTTCTTTAGTTAGTAACAGAAAGTAAAACCCAGCTCAATTCTGTTATCACAGTTGATTTATACATTGCACAATGTGAGCAAAATGGCAATGTTTTAATTAATTTTAATACTTTTCTTTACCTCTGTGGCATGTTTTTTTGTGTCTTGTCTGTTTTTTTAGCTCTTTGCACTTAAAAGCTCTACATGAAGTTTGTGTTTACTTTATAATTGATTGATGCTTGTATTTCTTCTTAATATGTTTAAAGGCAACCCAAATACTACTATTGGTACTTCTACCAACCATGCCTACAGGATATTAAATGACTAAAAAGTATAAAGGGGAAATATCACCCTCTGCTGTTTGTTAAGATTATGTTGCCATGGACATCAGTGGGAACTTGCATTAAAATGGAACAGTAACCAGCATTTGTGTCTTTGGCATTTTAGCTTCACCAGCGATGAGAGGATCTACGCCTCTAGATGTAGCTGCATCCTCTGTGATGGATAACAACGGCTTAGCTCTAGCACTGGAGGAACCTGATCTGGACAAGGTAGGACTTGTAGTTTCTTGTCACTCGGTAAAAGTCGGTCTGTCTGATTCCAAGACAAATTAAGATTATGGAATAATAGAAACATCAAACAAATAAATGTGCCTTATATTCGTCATTACATAATGAAAACAACATTATTTATCTGTAGGTGGTTACATACCTGGCTGGATGTGGTCTACAGAGCTGTCCCATGCTTCTGGCTAAAGGGTACCCAGACATTGGCTGGAACCCCATAGAAGGAGAGCGTTATCTCTCCTTCTTGCGTTTTGCGGTCTTCGTCAACGGTACTTCTGCTTCTACCCACACATTTCTATTTCATTCAATATGTCAGCGTTTATACCGCTCTTTTCCTCTATGAAAGCATCAAAATCTTCAAACAACTTCATTTACCTGCCTATGTTAAAACAAATGATGAATGCGTATTCAGGAAGAGCAAGCTTGTGGTTTGGTCTTGAACGTACAAGCTCATAGGGGTTTCTGTTTGTGTTCAAGGAGAGAGCGTGGAGGAGAACTCCAGTGTTGTGGTGAAACTGCTCATCCGACGTCCAGAGTGTTTTGGCCCTGCACTGAGAGGAGAGGGAGGGAACGGCCTACTGGCTGCGATGAAGGAGGCTATTAAGATCTCTGAGACTCCCGCTTTGGACCTGCCAGGCTCTGTGCATCGAGTCAGCTCTGATTTGTAAGCCATCGATTTTAAATAATGACGATCAGATGCTCCTTCTTTGACGCATGAGCTATTGTGTAGGGCCTTTTAAAATGCTTTTCATCTTCTTTTATTTATTTTTCTCTGACAGGTCAGCTGATGGCGACGATGAGGAGGAGGTGGTCCACATGGGCAATGCCATCATGTCATTCTACTCTGCCCTCATTGACCTGTTGGGACGCTGTGCCCCTGAGATGCATGTATGTGTGTTTTGATTTTTGTGACATTTTTGGTGCTTCTGCTAAACATTGATTAGAGAAGTTCTAATCAGAGATTTGTTGCTGATGTAAGATCTCTGGTAAATATGAGATCGTACACTTCTGATTTACCAGAGATTTACAATCAGCATCGTGAAGCTCTGACTTTTTGATGCTGATTTTGGATGTGTCTGATTTCTCTTTCAAAACTATACATACCAGACAATTTTCAATTTTGTGTTTTTTGAAAACAGCATGTTGCATGAGCGATTGAAAACTTAAAATGACAAAAACAGATTAACTTTATTGTATTATGATTGCTATCAAAGTGCTCTGGTGTCATCTAGCTGTATATTCTTGATGTTTTATGATTCTTAATTTTCCTGGATTTGCTTCCTTTAGCTCATCAACAAAGGAAAAGGTGAAGCTCTGCGCATTCGAGCAATATTACGTTCCCTAGTGCCCACCGAAGACCTCGTAGGAATTATCAGCATTCCCCTCAAAACGCCCATTCTCAACAAAGGTACCTGTTAGGATATTTCCCTTGAATATATAGTTTTGTTGATGTATAAAAAAATATTTTTATTTTAGAGATTTATGTTTTATACTTACATAATTTATATGCATGCATATCAGAATACTCAACACACACACACACACACACACACACACACAAAAAAAACGTTAGAAAGCTGTCTACATTTCAAGCAAAGCATAAAGTTATGGATTTCACTTCAAGTCTTTTTAGTAGCCCGATACTTTACGGTGCTCTCCCTTGACTCAGAGTAAGCCAGATGATTCCTAAGGCAAGCTGTCTTGCTCCATTGATCGATCTGAATAAGCATGACAAGATTGGACATTACATTTGCTGCTGTGTGCACTGGCTCACCGATTTTATCAGCAGCTAAACAAGGAATACCGCAAGTGAGGGCCTGGCACCAAAAAACTGCCAGCATAAATAAAGAAACACGGCTTTTCCAATCAGAAATGACTTGCTTTTATGTACCGTATATGTTTTCTTGGTCAGTTTTATCACTTTACTCATGAGTGAACTAAGCTGTTTAAATGTTGTGCTGCCTTTTTCTGTCTGTTTTGATTCTTCTCAGACGGATCAATGACTGAGCCTGACATGTCAGCTAGCTTCTGTCCAGACCACAAAGCCCCGATGGTGCTGTTTTTAGACAGGGTGTATGGTATTGAAGACCAAAGCTTTCTGCTTCATCTGCTCGAAGTCGGCTTCCTCCCCGACCTGAGGACGGCTACCACTCTGGATACGGTAATTTGAGTTGACAGCAATGTGGGACACAAAGAAATAAACATGAGCTTCAGGACCAGTAATCTCTGGACAGGAATAGTATCAGCGCCTCATAAGGCTGTGGTTTCGGCATGTATAGCTCACGCCTGAACGATTATGTTTTTAAATCTATACATAAACATATATTGATATTTTCTCTCACCAGGAGGGGCTCTGTACCACTGAGACCGCCCTGGCTATGAATCGCTACATCGGCTCAGCCATGCTGCCTCTTCTTACGCGGTGTGCCCCTCTCTTTGCTGGCACAGAGCACTATGCCACTCTTATCGACTCCACCCTGCACACTATCTACCGGCTATCCAAGGGCCGCTCGCTAACCAAGGCGCAGAGGGATGCCATTGAAGAGTGTTTACTGTCTATTTGCAAGTAAGAAACACAAGAATGGATTCAAAGTTTCTCCTACCTGTATTAAACCATTCATTTGAACTGCATTTTTTAGTGGCTGTCAAGGGAAATTACATTATAACTCTCAGCTCAGTTTACTGATTTATTCTTTTATGTCGGCGTGATGAGTTTGATCGGAGTTTCAATATGCCCAGAGCAAAAGTGTTATCTCTGTGCAGACACCTCCGCCCCTCCATGCTCCAGCAGCTCCTGCACCGTCTCGTCTTTGACGTGCCCTTGCTGACTGAATACTGCAAGATGCCTCTAAGGGTTAGCGATACTTAATCTCTTATATCTTAAATAAAGTGTCTTGAATTTTTTCGTTTTACTTTTCCCTCTTCCCTATTTTTCCTCTCTAACCTCTTTTATTTCTGTGTGGTTTTTGTATACTCACACTTTGTTCCTTGGATGTGTTGGGTTGTCAGCTTTGTAGGGAAATACTAAAACCTTATCCACCCCAGTTCAACAGACAGTGTGGCTTTTAATGTGATAAACTGCAGGCTACTGGTCTACGCCCCGCCCCCTCCCCCCCCCCCACACACACACACACACACTTTAAATCTGAGACATGGGAAAAGTGGTAACACATTTATAAAAACCTGCCATTTATGATTTAAAAATAATGAAGTAGGTGTTGGATTTTATGGTTACGTGCTTTTAGGCTGTAAAGTGTTTCTTTGGAAAGAATGTAATGGTTAACAACTGGTCTTCAAATTTATATAAACTCTTAATCTTACTTCCATGTCCATAGCACACTTATTTATTACAATAAGTGTTCCTCTTTGTATTAATTGCCTCCAGCTTCTAACCAACCACTATGAGCAGAACTGGAAGTACTACTGCCTCCCCTCAGGATGGGGCAGCTTCGGCACAGCATCTGAAGATGAACTTCTGCTCACCAAGAGGATCTTCTGGGGGGTGTTTGATTCTCTTTCTCAGAGGGTAAGGTGCTCTTTTGTGGCATTTGTTTCAGAACATTGTTTTGTTATACGTGAATTTCACACGTTCGAAATCACATGTAAGGATATGTGCTCGCACGTGATTTTGATTTTGAATAATTTATTTAATGATGTACTATGTGAAACGTAAATTTCTATGTAAATCTCCTAGAGACATAAGTCGTGGCAATTTGAAGCTCATGGAGTTACACAAAAAATGGTGCATAGACCTAGCCAGTGTAGTGGTTTTCTATTCATACTGACCACACAGTGTGCACTTACAATACAAATATGATTCAACCAGCTGCATTCACAAATGCTCATATTACATCAAGATCAGCATGGAAACATGTTAACACAAATTACACATGTGAAATTAATATCTTGCAGTATATATTTAAACAAATGTTTCTCATATCAGATTTAGCATGAAATTGTTTTATTTCCTGATGTAAACGTTTGTTTTATCTGTCTATCTGTCCAGGAAACAACAATTTTTGGAAAGCATAAACTTTATGTGTTTTTCTCTATAAAATCTATACTTCATTTTTGACCAACTTTTTCTTCCGCCATTTTCTCTTTCTGGTGTTTATCTGCTATTGGCCAATAAATTTGTTTCTATAAAGTAGATCTAAAAAAGAAACAAGTCAAGAAAAAAAAAAAACAGAACTCATCAGTCTTTTATTAATTTGTATGTATGCAAGGAAATGCTTTCGACGTGTTAGCATTGCAGATCGCCAGACTCAGCACATCTCACTAAATGCCCCATCACGGAAACAGGCTGTGCAAAGAGTTGGGCAGAGAACATCAATATCTGGACAGCCCATCATTGATCCAAGTCCTTAAGTGTGCTGGTTCTTCAGGCTTTAGAATAATTCTTCATTAATGTCTCTTCCTCTGACCCATCCGGTTTAAATTAAATGTAAAACACATTACTTGATTTGTTGAGGACAGTTCCTTCTCTGTGAAATGTTGTATAACAGAATTTATTTGATAAATTTTGCCTTTTTCTTTCCCGTTGCAGAAGTACGACCCAGAGTTATTTAAGATGGCCATGCCGTGTCTCAGTGCTATAGCTGGAGCTTTGCCACCAGACTATGTGGATGCCTCCATTAGCACGGCCGTTGAAAAGCCTGTTTCTGTGGATGCTCAGGGAAACTTTGACCCCAAACCCATCAATACTGCTAAGTAAGCCATTATAGACTCTAAAATCAATGAGAAAAACAGCATCATTCTGACTAAATATATTGAGTAATGACATGTTAATGACTTTGCTAACATGTGTCAGCTCACGCTTTGAGAGTAATTGGTGCCCTCTTTTTTCTTTTTTTTTTTTTAGCTTTGTGTTACCAGAAAAACTTGAACATTTGACCAACAAATATGCTGAGCATTGCCATGAGAAATGGTCTGCAGAGAAGGTAATGTTAAACACAATTCTTGGATTGCAGGTGACGTTTGGGGAGATGTGGGTTGTTAAATTGGAGAGAATTCCAATCAAAGCACGATGAATGTTTTGAGAAATTAATAAGATCAAAATAAAAGATGGGCAGACAACGATAATTCTCATCCTTCTTTTAGCGACTGCTCAGACTGCATTGTAACATATGTTGAACATTTAAGTAAAACTTACAATAGCAAGTCCTGAAAACATTGTAACTCTTAAATTTGTGGTGTACTTCACCTTGTTTACTGAACAGTGGGATCAGTGAATATTACTTCTCCTTCAACTTTTGTTTCTGCTTGTATCTCAGGTGCTGCTGGGGTGGAAATATGGGGACTGTGTGGATGAGAAAGCTAAAACTCACCCTCAGTTAAGGATCTACAAAGCCCTGACAGAAAAGGTAAAAACACGTGCTTAGAATAGCAGCGTAAAGGCTCATGCCTATTTGCTTGCATGTTGTTTTTTTATTTTTTATTATTGTGTTGCAGGAGAAGGAGATTTACAGATTGCCCATTAGGGACTCGCTTAAAAGCATGCTGGCCATGGGCTGGAGCATCGACAGGACAAAGGATGGAGAGAGCATGTCTCTGCAGAGGGAAAATGAGAAAATGAGGAAAATATCTCAAGCTTCTCAGGTACGGTTTGTTCGTTTTTTTTTTTTGTCACACAAATACAATTTTGCTCAGTTTCATTTTTATTATTGAGTCTGTGTTTCTGTTACTATAGTGAGACAAAATTTTGTTGTTGATGCAGAATTTTAAAGAGATATCTACCGATCAGACATGCTGGTTAGAGCAATCCTGAAAAAAAAAAAAAAAAAAAAAAAAACCCTTTAGGGGATGGAAAAGATTTGAGATTTTCCTCAAATCTCAAATCAACCTCAATGAAAGGTTGAACAACATTGTTCAGCCTTTCATGGTTTAAATCTTATTTGTGTGTCAAATGGCCCAATTAAAGTTTATATTTAAAATTAGATGAACATCTGTGGTGAAACTTGAACACTCATGTTCATAGATGTTTTCCAGTCTGACTGAATTTAAGCTATTACGGAAAGAAGAATAAGCCAATACCCAATAAAAGACATAATAAAATGTGAAAAGAGTATGAATAGTGTGAATACTTTACCAAGGTCCTAAATATACTTGAAAAAAATCAGTGCTACTCTTTCTGTTTGAAACAGAACACAGAGAATCAGTCAAAATTGCGACAAGAATTATCTTTCACAACCCTTCAATTGTGCACTTTCTACTATTTGCCCAATAGTAATTAATATTGTCTTGAGTTTTGAAAATATGAGCTTAAGTTTTTAGCTGTTGTCAAATGCTCCTATTTTTGCAGCATTGCTACTTTGTAAGGATTTATGCAGATCACTCATTCTGTGTTAATCTCTTTCCACAGAAGCTCTTAAATCAATGAGTGCTCCTTTATGAAATCCTTTTAAGGGAGAAATCTTGTTTCATCAAAATGTTTATTTGTTGCTGGAAGCTGACATTGTCTCACTTTAAATCTACATGTGTTTCCAGGCTAATGGTTTTAATCCCAGCCCAGTAGACACAAGTAATGTGACTTTGTCCAGAGAACTGCAGGTGAGAAACTCAGCTTTATTGTATTGTATTTTTTTTTCCCCTTTTTAAATCAAAGGAGCTTGTAAATGCACATCAGATCAAAGCAGTCTGTTCTGAATATGGATGAGTTTTGTGGGCGGGAAAAGGGTTCCTCACTGAGTTTGTCTCTTTTTGTCTTCACTCCAAGGGTATGGTGGAAGTAATGGCTGAGAATTACCATAACATCTGGGCCAAGAAGAAGAAAAGTGACCTTGGAAGCAGAGGTGCATAGTTAATGAAGTGTATTAGGAATGCAAACTGCACAAAGACACCAGCCAAACATACATATTGTTTATGTTTGCATGTGGGTGGATTACAAAGCCATGTACGGTTGTTACTGTTGTCTTTTTCATGTACTTCTGTAAATATGCATGAGAGCCTCTGTGTTCTTGACAAATTAGGTTCAGCCACTCTGTTTGCCCTCACACATTGAACGGTGAGGGAGTAAATCACATCTGAACACAGGGCTATTTGTCGTTTCAGGCGGAGGAACTCATCCTCTCCTGGTGCCCTATGACACGCTGACAGCCAAGGAAAAGGCCCGTAATCGAGAAAAAGCCCTGGACCTTTTTCGCTTCCTGCAAATTAATGGCTATAGCATTACAAGGTCAATATGCTGTGACTATGTCATTGCCATTGTGTTAAGATCTTAGCTGCACTTTATAACTATCACTGGTTGATTGACTGCTTTATTAAGTGCTATCAAAAGTAAATATAATGGTTTAAGAATGGTATTTTACAAACAAGGTCTTATGTTGCAGAGGTTTGAAGGACTTGGAGCAGGATTCCTCTTCCATGGAAAAAAGGTTTGCCTATAAATTCCTCAAGAAGCTGCTGAAGTATGTCGATTCAGCCCAGGACTTTATCGCCCACTTAGGTATGATGCTGTTCCAGAGCATTAAAGTAGACTTGTGGATTTCTTGTTGTCTAAAATAGAACATATTTCCTCAATCCAGAGTCGATGGCAGCCAGTGGAAAAACAGACAGGTCCCCTCATGAACAAGAAATCAAGTTTTTTGCCAAAGTACGGAAAGTTAACAAATACAAATATCTAGAAGTTCATTATTTTGTTATTTTTTTTGCTGTGGATTTTGCCTAATCTTACATTCATTGTTGGTGGTCTTCAGGTTCTCCTCCCACTCATCGATCAATATTTCAAGAACCACTCTTTGTATTTCCTCTCCTCTCCCAACAAGAACCTAAGCTGCAGTGGTTACGCCTCCAACAAAGAGAAGGAAATGGTCACCAGGTAGAAATTCACACGTTTACTGACAACAAACGTTGTGAGCACAGAAAACATGTGCCTTGCTGCATGTTTTCTGCCTGAAATCTGAATCACTTCATTTATGTAAGTCACTGTGATTTTCTGATTTTTTTTTTCTCCCTATTTCTGCTCTTCATGGTACAGCCTATTTTGTAAACTGGCAGCTCTTGTCAGACATAGGATTTCTCTTTTTGGTAAGCTGACACTTATTAGTCAGTGATGTTCTTGCAAATGTGTTTTTTGTGTAACACCTTTTATAGATCATCCCCTGCAACCTTTTGTTACCAATTCATAAGAACACCTGTCCGCTGTCTGCGTTGGACTTAAAAACTAAGGCCTGCATTATTGGAAAAAGTAATGCAGTAGCAAAATCAGTGATAATTATTGTGATGACAGCATCTCTTGGGTTTTTAGCATCCTGAGCACTATAATCAGGTTTGGACATTCATTGCTGTCTGACTCCATCCAAGACGCAAAATTAATTTACCATCATTCATTAGTTTATTTTTGCAGCAACTAGTCTTCAGAATAAACAAATATTAAATAATTTGGCATTTATTTGCAAAATTAATTAGGGATTCTTCCCCTATTACTTGGGTTACTGTTTACATAAAAAAGGCAAACAAAATACAAGATTTAAATTGCATTTATTAAACAGAGCAACAGAGGAAAACCAATTAAGCTCACCAAATGCAAAACAAAAGAAAGGGGAAAAAAATTACATTGGCATGCAAATTGTGAGTTAGAATGTGCTTTCCAATGAGGCTCATCTGTCAGAATATTTTTATCTTAAGAAATTTTAGCACATAACCAAACCTCTTGTAAAGGTTAATTATTTTTGTAGATTTTTTTTCCTTATTCATATAAAGGTGCATTTAATTATTTCTTTCATGAGTCATGTCAAAAAGTCAACAGAAAAAGCTGCTGTGTTCATGCTAATGGCCTTTGTGTTGTTTTGTAGGGAGTGATTCCACCACCATGGTCAGCTGTCTGCACATCCTGGCACACACTCTCGACACCAGGTGCGTACAAATTAGGCAGAGCCCAAAGCACACAAGAAACTTGGCAGCTTAGGGTTTCCTTCCTAAAAAAAAAATAAAATAAAAGCTCAAGGCTATTATTTTAGGTAACCATGAACCGCTTTGAAAGCCATTGACACCTTTTCTTTGTTAAGTGGATCTAATGTGACCTGGATGCTTTGCAGCACATTGGTTTTCTTTTCAGCATTTTCCTTTAGACAGTCTTTATTTTTATACTGGTATTAACAAAGAACTTCCATTGACATTAAAATAAGGCAGAACACATTTCATGCAGCACTTGTTGCCTGAGGCTCATAATGCTCTTTAGAGACAAGGTACTGTTTGTAAATGCAGCTCATACATAATGAGGCTAAATCAGCATTGCATTATGGCGTCTTGTTTATGCTGAAGAGCTACAGATGATGCCCACATAAGCGTTTCTCATCTCTGCCTTCTTTGTTCCCTGACACATCAAGGCCTAACAATGGGTAATTTATTTACTTATGTTATGAACTGTGAAATGCTGAAAATGAACACACTAATCATATTAATGTGTTGTGCTGTTTCATGAAGTTTCTGTCTTAGCTTCAGAAATGGCTGACTCACCTTGAATTTCAATTTTCTCCCAGTTCACTGGGTAAATAATTAATGGCACAGTTTCTGGACAGACGGGCTAATGCTCGGGAATTTTATATCATGTGTGAAACTGTTACAGACTGTTAGGTTGTAGCAATTGCATTTATGCATATTAAGTAGTATCTGTGCTATACACGCCAGTGGTTCCATACCAATTGCTTTGAGTTATTTTTTTTTTTATGCTCTTGTTAAATCTAACAGGACAGTAATGAAGTCGGGCTCGGAGCAGGTCAGGGTGGGGCTCAGGACTTTCTTTGAGAACGCTGCGGAGGACTTAGAGAAGACCTTTGAGAACCTGAAGCTGGGGAAGTTCACTCACTCTCGCTCCCAGATGAAAGGCGTGTCGCAGAATATCAACTACACAACTGTGGCTTTGCTTCCCATCCTAACTGCTCTGTTTGAGCACATCACTCAACACCACTTTGGAGTAGATCTGCTTTGTAAGTCCTGACAAAGAGGGAATGATCAAAGGTGGTGGGTTCTTTTTTTTACTTTGTTTTGAAGCTGAAAAATACTTTTATCAGATGTGAAATCTTTTAACACTTGAACACCTGATTGAACAGATCTTACATGCAAGACTTGTTCCAGTATACTGCAGAATACCGTGCTCATATTAGTTCCAAGTAATAAAGTTGATTTCTAAGCTTTGACAATGATCTCCATCCATCCATTGAGAGACATGGCCAGACAATCACTTGATTTTACTTTATTTAATTTATTTGATTGGGACACTGCAAATTAGCCAGCATTACCACAATTCATGGCAGTGTAGATATGCCAAAATTAGCACATTAAGTAAGTTCAAAAAACAAAACACCTCACTACGCAGTTCACAAGACAGCAGTACAGCACACATAGTTCTTTTAAAAGAAGCCACAATAACTAGCAGACGGATAGAAACAATCGATCAATCAGTTGATCATCAGATCTTATACATCCATGTACATATACTGCAAAAACACTGCAGTAAAAGTACACAGATCTCTTTCCAGATTTACAGCCTAATTGTAACTTTTTTTCCTCTATTTTTTTTCCTCAGTGGATGATGTGCAGGTGTCCTGCTATCGAATCCTGACCAGCCTCTTTGCTCTTGGCACTGGGAAAAACATCTATGTCGAAAGGTATCCTCAGCGTAGATTTTTAAGTGCAGAGAATAACTTAACAGAAGAAAAAGAAAACACATAGTCATTTAATAATTTTGTATCTCTAAGGCAGCTGCCAGCTCTCGGTCAGTGTCTGGCCACTCTTGCTGGCGCCATGCCTGTAGCCTTCCTGGAGCCAAAGCTCAACACGCACAACCCCTGCTCCGTTTTTAATACCAAGAGTGCCAGAGATCGAGCAGGTGAGTTACAAATTGATGATAAAAGTCAAGCCTTCATTATTCTAGAACAATTTCCCCCATTACCAGTGGACACATTTAAAAACAGCACAACCTGGTATTACTAAAGCTTCCGTAACAATGTGTGAATAAAACCCTCGCTATGTTTTAGTGCTGGGAATACGAGAATCAGTTGAGGAGATGTGTCCTGGCATGCCGCGGCTTGACGGGCTCATGAAAGACATCAATGACATGGCTGAGTCTGGTGCGCGCTACACCGAAATGCCCCATGTGATCGAGGTGGTGCTGCCCATGCTGTGCAACTACTTGTCCTACTGGTGGGAGAGGGGCCCTGAAAACCAGGCTGCCAGTGGTGGAAGCACTTACTGCACTACGGTCACCTCGGAGCACCTCAGCCTCATCCTCGGCAACATCCTCAAGATCCTCAACAACAACCTAGGCATCGACGAGGCCTCCTGGATGAAGAGAATTGCAGGTACTGATGGAGTTTATATATCTAACAGACACAATCAGTCTTTGAATTGTTGCATTGCTGAATTATAAATCAGATGGCTTAAAATTTGGATCTTTTTTTATTCAATGTTTAGTTTATGTGCAACCTATCATTAGTAAGGCTCGCGCAGACCTGCTCAAGAGCCACTTCTTGCCCACCCTGGAGAAACTAAAGAAGAAGACAGTAAAAGTGGTGGCTGAAGAGGAGCTTCTGAAGGCCGACAGTAAAGGAGACACCCAGGAGGCCGAGCTGCTCATTTTGGATGAGTTTGCTGTGCTCTGCAGGGATCTTTATGCATTTTACCCCATGCTCATCCGCTATGTGGACAACAACAGGTTAAATAAGTGATAGTTATTATTTTATAGTTGAAATGTTATTGCACAATTTGAAAAAAACCAAAAAAACCTATGTTTACATCATTTTTATTTTATTTTATTGCAGGTCTAGGTGGCTGAAAGAACCAGATTCAGACTCCAATGAGCTCTTCAGAATGGTTGCAGAGATTTTCATCCTCTGGTGCAAGTCTCATGTAAATGATTCCTTTGTTCTTTAGCTTACACCAAAGTATCCATATCACTAAAACTATTCATTGGGATTTGATGTGATACAAAAACACAAGTAGTGCATAAATGAATAGAGCATTTACAGTTTTATCGATAAGAATCTGACAAGTATGTGCGTCTGGATTCAGTCACCTTTATTCTTATGTCCTTGAATAAAACCCAATGCAGCATTTTAAGACGTTTGAGTTGTTTGCCCAGTTTGTGATAGAAATTGGCAAACTCTCCAAAATCCTAAAATGTGCCCTCAAAGGGTTTTTGCTGATTTTACGAATTTTGAAGTGAGTTTGTGATCCTCTAAACTGCTGATGTTTTCGAAACAGTTTCTATTGTCTGTTGTGAAGCCATCGCTCCGTGCAGTATGACAGACCTGGTGGGGATGGAGAAAGGGAAGCTGGTCAGAGTAAATAAAATATAGATGGAGCTAAATACAACACAATCTGGGAATGAAAACCTGATTTAGTTTGCATAAGCTTCAAGAAAATAGCAGAGGTTTTCCCTTCTCACTGACAAAAGCCCTAAACATAAAACCAGAGCTGCTTTGGAAGGGTTTTGATCGATGGATGGCCTTGTGTTAGAATGGTCCATATAGTCCAGACCCTAAATCTAATCAAAATTTGAAAAAAATGATGTGCACAAATGCTCTTTGAATTAGTCCCTATCCCTTCTGATTGAGTTGTAATTGCAGCAAAATGTGCTTCTATAGTACTGACTCCCACTGCAAAGTTATTCATCACTTGAGTTAGTCCATCACATATAATCTCAATAAAATATGTTGGGATTGTAATCTTAAGAAATTACAATCCCAACATATTTTATTGAGATTAAAATATGTTGGGATTGTAATTTCTTAAGATTTTGGTTGTAACTTGACAAAACATGAAAATTTATAGACTGACATGTATTATTTCTTTTCTTTTTTTTTTTCCTTTTTTTTTTACCCAGAACTTTAAAAGAGAAGAGCAAAACTTTGTGGTTCAAAATGAAATCAACAACCTTTCTTTCTTGACTGGAGACAATAAAACAAAGATGTCAAAGGTATGTTGATTTACTGCCATGTTTCTTCACAGGGATGAACTCAAATTTACTTGTTCTGGACTTTACATGCAGCAGATTGATGAGCTTTAATCTAAATTATTTACTGTTTCCATGAGATGTAAAAAAAAAAAAAAAAGAGCAAACCACTATAAACATGGCCATTAATAGGACACATGTTAACATCTTCTCTGCCATGTAAAAAAATCTTTATTTTGTCAATACATGTGCTCATATGTTAACATGAAAATGCTATGAGAATATCACAGAATCGGGGTGTTCACTCCTACAACAATACACACACATCTGAGAGGATTTAGAAATCTAAATCAAATTTTTAAGGAATACACTATGGAGCCTTCTGACATCATATCTTTTAAATCTTCTATGTGTGTGTATATCATGTGCATGGTTATTACAAAAAAAACAAAACAAAAAAAAACACTAGTTTTCATTCCTCAGCTTCAGTACATCTGCTTGGTTGAGCACTTTGAAGAAAAATAAAATGTTTTTCATTGCACTGCATGTCCGTATGAGGAGGACTTTGTGCCTCCATTATTAACCGCCCTCTCATCCCTTTTTTCCCCCTAACTGCTTCTTTCTGTTTGTCTCCATCTATCCCTCTAACTCAAAACAGTCCTTTAAGGAAAAGGTAGAGTGATGCAGTGCATGTGCTGTTAACCTGCCAGCTTACAAGCATACAAGCCAATAGGCTTGTATGCTCTTGTCACCAAGCAGAAAAGCCAATAGCTTGTGCCTGATGTGCTATGTAGTCTATAGTTTAGTTATATATTATGCTACCTGGTAATTTGTGGCCTCCATTTATCAGTGTGTGACATGGTCAGTTTGTTCATCCCTCACTGCTGTATCGGTCAACCACAGTTCATCTGGTATAAAAAGCTTTGTCCCTCTGCAGCATCTTATGTGATTATGTATGTTTGCAGTTGATTGATCGTGATACCCCTCTGTCTGTAGTCAATAGTTAAAAGCTATATGTGTATTTTGTTGTTAGTCTGTCGTTAGCATTTCCATATGTGTGTTTGTGTTTTCAAGATATATTGATATTTGTGAGGAAATATGTGTTTTTACTGAGCCGATTGTGGAGTTTTGCACACAGTAAGTGCTTTGAATCTTCTCCAATGCTACCAGCCACTGAATTTTGACCAATAAATTAAAGCTTCTAGTTTTTACTTGCCACTACATGTGTTTTTTTTTTTGTTTTTTTTTGAGTATGTCATGATGAACTTTTCAGTCTGGAGGACAAGACCAGGAGAGGAAACATAAGAAGAGGCGCGGCGAGTTTTACTCCATTCAGACCTCATTAATTGTGGCCGCTCTGAAGAAGATGCTGCCAATCGGCCTCAACATGTGCACCCCTGGGGATCAGGAGCTGATTTCTCTTGCCAAGACTCGCTACCTCATGGTGAGAACCCATTTGAAAAAAAGATTGAAACACTTACATGAGAGCAACACTGCCTAAAGAAATGCAAATTGATGCTCTAAAAGAAAATACTTGAACGTCTCAAAGAATTTTTGATACTCCTTGAAGTTTTTCATATTTTCTTTTTTTAGTTTTCATCTCTTGTGATGCACCAACACATTATTAAGTTAATTTAAAGAAAGTCAAGAATTTGAAGCACATATTTGTATTCAGCTGCAGTAGCTATCCATTTTGATGCATCTATATGTTTTCTATTGGTTGTGTTTTAGCTGATGTAAGGTCAAGACTTTTTCTTTATTGGAGAAAAATGGAAATGCCATCAGAATTTCTTCTGCCTTTTCTGCTGCTTCAAGCTTGATGTTTTGTGACCTTATTTTTTGAAATGGCTTTGCTGAACCTCTTATTATGGCCTGCCATTTTCTATCCTGCATGCCATTTGTAGCAAGTCTCCCTCTCTCTCTTTATCTCCTCCTTACAGAAAGATACAGATGAAGAGGTTAAAGACCACATACATCAAAATTTGCACCTTCGAGAAAAGGTACAAAAGCAACATTTAAGTACATTTCCTCATTAATCAACATTTTGTCAATTTACTTTGCTTTCAATTTTATCTGAATATTCTCTTAGTCTGAGGACCCTGCTGTGCGGTGGCAGCTGAACCTGTATAAGGACATTGTGATGAGGATTGAAAGCCCACCTGACCCTGAACGAGTGGTTGACCGTATCCAAAGGATCTCTGCTGCCATCTTTAATCTGGAACAGGTCAAAATAAAGACACATTACTCATTGGTGGATGTGATGGCATTAACTATTTTATATTAAAAATACAGTTGGAATGATTTCAGTTGGAAGACGTGATGGTAATCGGGTTTTAAATATCATGAAAAGCATAGAAGGTACCACAACAGATAGATCAGGGGTGTCAAACTCAATTTCACCGAGGGCCACTTCAGCATATTGGCCACCCTCAACAGGCCACATTGACGGTACAGATCAGGAGGGCATCCCTGCTAAAACACACCCCAGACAAAAGGTTGACTTCCCTCATTCAGGTCTGTAGAGGCTTATAATGAGTCAATGGTCCAGGTGTGTTAGAGAAGGAATGCATCTAAAGTTGCAGATGGTAGCTCTGGAAAACTAGACTTGGGCACCCCTAGCATAAATGTATAAAAATACAATGTTAAAAACAAATTAAACACCTAATATTGTTAAATAAGTGATTTTATGTATTGAAATTTTAAATATTACATTTGAGTTTCCATGGATGTAAAAATTACTGCTCAGTTTAAAAATTACATTATTTAAATCAGTGTTTAAAGGCAAGCAAACAAATAATAAAAACAAGTCACATGGGCAAACATAGACTTTATGCAAAGATTTAGTCTCAGAGGCAACTGAAATCAATTAATTAAAAACATTCTTTCTGAATACAAACCTTTGGTTGAAATGTAGTTTGTAGTCAATTTGTGCTCAAAACCTATTTTAAGTCAATCATTGGCCTATAAAATGCTGGGGGGCCACATGTGGCCCGCGGGCCTTGAGTTTGACACATGTGCATTACGCCATAGAACTGCCAATTGGTAATTGAAGTAAAGTAGCTTTGATTTCAAAGAAGTCGATTGGCAAATGAACCATCACCAAAGAGGAAGGCTCTTGTTGTCTCATTGCACCCCAAGAGATACATAACCGACAAAAACCATTTCTGTCTGGTTTTGAACCAGAGACCTTTTGCGTGTTAAGCAAATGTGATAACCACTACACTACAGGAACTGAACTTCTCTGCTTTGTTTCAGTTTGAGGTTCCAAAGTTGATAATGTGAGATGCAACATGAAAATTTCAACTGAGGATTGCACTCAGATGCCTGGATTCAGANACATGAAAATGTCAACTGACGCTTGCACTCAGATGCCTGGATTCAGAGTACAGACCATGACACCACAGAACCCTTGTTGACCTTTAGTAAACACCTGTGATGAATAGAACATACTAAATCTGTTTCTGTCTGGTTTCAAACCAGACACCTTTTGCATGTAAAGCAAATGTGATAACCACTACACTACAGGAACTGAACTTCTCTGCTTTGTTTCAGTTTGAGGTTCCAAAGTTGATGATGCGAGATGCAACATGAAAATGTCAACTGACGCTTGCACTCAGATGCCTGGATTCAGAGTACAGACCATGACACCACAGAACCCTTGTTGACCTTTAGTAAACACCTGTGATGAATAGAACATACTAAATCTGTTTCTGTCTGGTTTCAAACCAGACACCTTTTGCATGTAAAGCAAATGTGATAACCACTACACTACAGGAACTGAACTTCTCTGCTTTGTTTCAGTTTGAGGTTCCAAAGTTGATGATGTGAGATACAACACATGAAAATTTCAACTAAGGCTTGCACTCAGATGCCTGGATTCAGAGTACAGACCATGACACCACAGAACCCTTGTTGACCTTTAGTAAACACCTGTGATGTATAGAACATGCAAAATCTGTTTCTGTCTGGTTTTGAACCAGAGACCTTTTGCATGTAAAGCAAACGTGATAACCACTACACTACAAGAACTGAACTTCCCTGCTTTGTTTCAGTTTGAGGTTCCAAAGTTGATGATGTGAGATGCAACGCATGAAAATGTCAACCGAGGCTTGCACTCAGATGCCTGGATTCAGAGTACAGACCACGACACCACAGAGTAAACTCCTGTGATGAATAGAACATACTAAATCTGTTTCTGTCTGGTTTCAAACCAGACACCTTTTGCATGTAAAGCAAATGTGATAACCACTACACTACAGAAACTCATGCTCTTTGGAGTGTTCCTGGTGGATGATCCACATTATGTTAGAGACTAACGTCAACGATGGGCATGGAACAATGTCAAATACTTAAACCACAGATCCTCTCAGAGAGCACAGTAACTTGGTGAACAAAC